AATGTTATACTCATCGAGACCTTTCATTTGAGTACCCACATGCATTTTGATATATTTTTCATATATACATATATATATAAATATATAAAATATATGAAAAATTGATGTGGGTACTCAAATGAAAGGTCTCGATGAGTGTAATGTCGGGATGAGCTTATATCTTAAAAAATGTCAAAAGTTCACAAGATACAAGGTCATTTCTTAATTATGTATCTATAGCAAATTTTCGAATGCAGCCTTAATTCTTATCATAATAAATTGACTGTCAATGAGAATGATATGAAACCTTGAAAAGGCATAAATTCAAGTCAAGACTATTTCAATGACAAAATTTTTCTTGTTCTTTTAATAATATTAATAGATTATTATAAAATTTAAATTAATATTTTAGTTACAGACCGGCATACGCACACATTTTCTTTATTAAATCCAACTCCGATCCGAACATTATCCGAAGTACGACGGCTTCACAGGTCTGCCGATGACAATGTTCAATTGATGTCATCTGAATAATTATTTTATCAATAATAAATAATAGACTACTTTCACAACTAAGTAATACATACAATAAATACAATTCCTTTGAATTTTTTGTCTAAAAAATAACATCAAAGATATTTTTAGCCAGAGCTTAATAATTTTCTAAATAAATTCGAAAATAATTACGAAAATTTTATTAAAAAATAACAAAACTCTGACTAGTAATATCTATGCACAAATTTTTAGTTTATAAAAGTAAAAAATAAATTTTAAAAAATAAGAACATTACAAACAATGCAATTGATATACAAATTTATGTATAGTCACTCGTACTCAGTACAATTTATTTATAATTTATATTTATAAAGATAAATTTTACAGTATTATTTTTATAAATGATACTTTTTTTTTTTTTTTGTTTTAAATCAGTCGCACATAATTAGTAGCTCAATAATTGTTTTAACGAAACATGAGTCGATTATCCAGGCCTAGTTATTTAATTATTTTAGTTTGTTAAAGATTTATAAATAAATTTATATATTATTAAATGTATATTGTCTAATTATAACGGTGCTAATTGTGCAAATATTAATTTTATTGAAAGAAAAAAATCTATGGTAAATAATTAATAATTATTTAATAGTTTAAGTTAAATACTCAACTCTAAACTCCATCTACTTGTCTAATAGTTGATTATTTGTAGTTATTATAAATTTAAATGACGAAAGATTATTTAATGAGTCTCGTTAATCCGAGAGTATTAGTGGAATTTATATAAGTGATTTAGAGTACTTTATTATATTAAAAAAAAAAATCTATTAAATTTTTAATAACCCAAGTGACTTAGCCTTTAAGAATTGAAATTTATTTATCACTTGTATTACGTTATTATTTACAAATTAAATATTATTAATAATAATATGTATATAAATTGTATTCAAATTTTAAAATATTAAACATTATTTATTATTATGAGATTGCCGGGTATTAAGTGCGGATTACATATATATATTTATATATAAATCCTGCGAAAAAAAAAATTCGTCTTTAGATCGTTAAACGCTGGTATTATTTAAATATTTGTTAGAAAATTAATAAAGAGTTGACAAATAATTTATTGTCTATTTTTATTATTTGTTTTTTAAGTATATTTTTCACTACGTTATGTATAAAAATAATTACGATTTTATTTTTAGTTACTACAATTTTAATATCACCCATTTAATGGCCATAAGATCGTAATTATAAACTTACAAAAAACACTTATACAGTAATTGATACTTTTTTGACATAATCAATGATTATATATTATAATTATAAATTAATAAAAATGACTCAAAAAGGTTTTTACCAAATTTTTATGAATTGATAAATTTATAATTTATTAATTCAATGATCTTATGGAATTAAATATCATGAAATGAGTGATATTATTTGATACGATCACTCAGAGGGATGTAGGGAATATCAAATTCATCCAAATCATCCTTTAATGTCGTGTTAACAGTATCATCATTAATTTTATCGTTAGCCTTGGGAGAAGAAATATCAATTGGCTCCTTGTGAGCTCCGTCTAGATGCTGATACATTTTCTCTACAATCATCGACATGTTGGGAGAGTCTTCATCTACGTCGGTTGAAAAATCCTGCTCGACTAGATCATCAAACAAGCTGCTGACGGAGCCATTTAACTCGGCGAGCTTCAAATTATCCTGATTGCCAGACTTTCTGGTGTTTTTAGTCTTCATGAAGAAATCATAGATTTTTTTCTCCTGAGTCTCCTCGGGTTTGGCTTTGAGTTTTCTGCTGTTCTTCGGCTTCACCACGTTCTCCTTGTCACCCTCCACGGGCTTGGGTTTCTTGCGAGACTTTTTTTTTGCATTCTTGGCGTCTTCAAAGCCCTCGACTAAACTAGGATAGACTAATTTAACAAGATCAATTGGCTCGAGAGTTGTTATTAAATTTCTTTTACAATTATCCTCCGTTTCTTCCTCTCCTAATTTGATAAAGCATTCAATCTCGCTTATTACTTCCCACTCTATTTCGTAGTAACAGACCGATTGGATAGTCCGAATTTTTTTAATTACTTTCGGAATTAGTTCCTCAGTTGATGCCGTTCCCGGTTCCGGAGTCTGCTTTGATTGGTTTTCGATGTGCCATCGCGTTAATAGTGGGAATACTTTTTCGATAGTGTAGTCGGCGGTCCACTTTAATTTCTTCTCCATAAATTTCTTTTTAAAAATACAATCATGTTAATATTAAAAAAAAAAAACAAAATAATTTAAGGTAAAAGCTCCCATTATTGACACTAAGAGTGATCATAAATATTTGAATTTTTTTATCGTGTTTCAAATCAATATTGTCAACTTTTTTTTATGGGACACCTTAATAATTGTTTTTACTTATATAATTTAATTAATTAATTTTAATAGCAATAAATTTAACAATTATGAATGTATGTATGTATTATTGACAGCGCAAAAAATTCAAAGAGCCGATTATTGACATACCATTGACCCTATTATTGACAGATCTTTTATATTACAGTTAAATTTATATTAACAATAATCATTTTTACTAACTAATGCAAAACTATCAATAATTTTTATTATTTTAAAATTCGTTTAAAACCTACACGGAAAGAACAAAATGACACTGGTTATCATCCCAGATTATACTCAGTGATATCTCCGGGATTTTTTTTTTTCTAGTGCTTGCGCACCATATCTATTATGTATTTTAGATATTAGGATAGTCAAATATTGTTTTAAATACTATCTCAAATTTTTTTTTCACCGCAGATATCACTGAGTATAATCTGGGATAATATCCAGTGTCATCTTGTTCTTTCCGTGTAGTATTTCTATATTTTTGACCAGGTTTTTTTTAGCAATTTTTTCTAGTCTCAAATAATTTGATTCTTATAAAATTACATGACAGTATGTAAATATTAATTTGTTGATATGTATGTTGATGGGTTTAGGTTACCTTCCATTATGGGCTATGTCGTTAGTTGACGCAAGTTAATTTTTGTGTCCCTATCATTGACATCCGCTATTTTTAAATTAATTTTAACTCGATAAAGTATAAATAAATGATTATATGGTTGTTTAGACTATGAATAATCTAAAATAATTTTAATCAATGCAATTACATAAAAAAACATTGAGAATGCTGGATTTGAAAATAAATCGTCTTTCTTAACGATATTGTTTAGAAATTACAAACGTATAAGCAGTTTTGTCCTACTAGAAAAAATGAAATTTTTTTGTGGTAAATAGTTTATGCTTTAAAATTAAATTTTACTATTTTTTAATTTTTAAAATATGTAAAATTGTCATGAAATATCAACAATTGTGATTGTAACAGATTTAAATAATGAAATAAAATTGAATAGGGCTTCAATAGTGGGGGGGGGGGCCCTGTCAATAATAGGTGCTTTTACCTTATTTTTTTACAAAATTTTAAACAAAAAATACTTACAACCAGCTCTAATACATTGGGACACTCCCACTTGGTAATTGTCCTCGGTACCTTGCCTTTGCGTACCGTAAATTCATCTATTAACTCTTGATTCGGGAAGCTATCAATCGCGATACACTTTTTACGAATCAATAGTTCATTTGATATCAATTTTTTCATTTCACTGTAATAAAATTTCATTTATTAATAATACACAATCTCAAAATTTAATCATTAAAAAAATTTATTTTATCTTACTCTGAAATATTTTTTGACGCAGCAACAGCTGTTTCTAATTTATAAATACTTCCGTCAGTTCTCCAATTTTTGAGCCTGAAAATTAAGTTACATAATTAAGACCATAATTTTTATTTAATTCAATAATCTTCAGTAACAATCTTATTTAAATTTAAAGACTTACAAGTTCTTAAGGTTCTTAAATATTTTTTACCTTAGAACTTTTAAAATTTAATTAAAATACAGGAAAAAAATAGAATGTTAATAATGACAATACCTATTTAAGATATCTTTTTCATTAGCTGCTCGAAGTAATTTAATAGCTCCTTCCTTTCCAACTCCAGGAATTCCAGAATCATAGTCACAACCACACAACAATGCCAGACCAATCATCTTATTGCGACCAATACTGTAAATTTTTTCTATCCTCTCCAATGAGTACTCTTCTACTGAACTACCAAATCCTATTTTATCAGTTATCGTGAAATTTCTGTAGACTATTTTTGCTCCGTACAAAAAACAATCACTGTCTTGCGTTATGCATCCGTCGACCAGCTAAAAGTATTCAAAAAATTAAAATAAATAAATGGTACCAAAATTAGTTAACCTTAAGTTAACTGACATCAAGAAATAAAAATTTTTTTTTTTATTGAAAAAATTATTGTAAAAAATTTTCATTTGTAAAAAACTTGAAAAAATACAAGAGCAGTTTTTAAAAAATATTTTTTTAGTTTTAATTAATAAATTAAAAAAAAATTTTAAACTCTTTCAAATTCTTCTATTAAACCTTCTCAGTTTATTGTTGCTATGCTTGTAGCCTTGAGTCAAAACTTGGAACAATATTTTGTAATAATGTCTGTTGAGTGTAATGTCTGTGTTTTAAATGAAACTTGGCTTAATTCAAACATTTTTTCCTAAAGATTTTCGATATTAAATTGTATTATTCAACTAAATAATGTATCATTACCAATTTAAATTCTTTTAGCTAAGCTTTCAAATTTATACAGATGTTTAAAAAACACAAACTTTTCTGTTTTACTTTTCGTATTTTTTTTTTCTCTTTTCTTTTCATTTTCTCAAAATGCAAGTGCATTAAAACATTGCTGTTTATACCTATTCTTTTATATGTAATATAATCTTGTAAAAGGACGTTAAAGTTATTATCTAGTGACCCTGTTATTGGCTATTGCTGTTGGGTCTTTATGTAAAGAAATAAATAAATAAATAAAACGTCTGCTAACTTTAGTATTATCCAAAATTAGCAGACATTGAAAAAAAATTTATTTTTTAAATAATCTAATTATAAATAAAAAAATATTTTGAAAAAATTGCACGCATAATTTTCAAATTTTTTCATGTGGAATTTTTTTAATTAAAAAAAAAATATGAAAATTAAGTTAGTCGACATTTAAAAATTTTTTGATTTTTTTTATTTAAAAAAATTCTTTAAAAAAATTTCATTTGTAAAAAATTTGAAAAACTACACGTGTAATTTTTGAAAATTATTTTTTAGTTCTAGTAAAATGATTTAAAAAAATCGAAATATTAAAAGCGTCGACTAACTTTAGTATTATAAAAAAAATTGTCAAATATCGGCTAATTTTATTTATAATACTAAAGTAAGTCGACGTTTTTAATTTTTTGATTGATTTTCAATAATTAATTTAGAACAAAAAATTACACTTACAGTTTTGAAAGTTTTTTTACAAATTAAACTTTTTTTTAATTTTTTTGTAATAATTTTTTCAATAAAAAAATATTCTAAAAATTTTTAGACGTCGGCTAAATTTATTTTAACAATAAATAAAAAGTTAAAATAAATAAAATAATAAAATTACCCCGTCCTGATTTAAATAAGCACACATAGCTTCAGCCTCTCCATGTGCTTTGACACAAGTGAGCCCCATCAAATTCAACATCATCTTACAATCATTGACCGTGCGATTGAACATATACCCGCGGCCATTAGACCTCTGATTATCTTTCTTGGTCTCAGTTTTCTTCTTGTTACGCATCTGACTTCTCTCGCGTATGACATCGTGCTTCAGAACCGGAGCTGTGCCCTCGAGAACGAACACTGGGTTTATGCCGTTCATCAGCAGAGCGACAGTGCGGAAAAAAATGTTTCTGAAAATAAAAATATCATAAATTATATTAATTATATGACGGATAAATAAATAATAATTGAAAACATACCTCAGATGTTTATTCAAGCAACCATCGTCAGGACCGACAGTGGAACTATCAACAATCCAGCAACTGAGATCGACAGCAACACTTTTCCCACGTAATTCAGCCAGAGCAACAGCTTTGCTCAGCGGCGTTATTATATTCCACAGTCCTGTTACGCCCATTGTCTTATCTCAGCTGTTATTAATTAAGTATGAAGCGTCACTTTAACTTACTAATTAATTAATTAATTTAATTTGTTTGTTTATATTTATTATGTACATACTGCCGACATGCCGACATTAATTGCATGTACTCGTGACGTAGATTCACGGTTTTTCAGTTACCGACTTAATATGGCGGGCAAGATTATTTTTGTGGTTATAATTCTCGACGGTGGCGGCGCTGTTTTCTTTATTAGCAAGATGTGACGTTTGTAATGACACTGAAGTTGACAGACATTCAAAATTTATAATACTAATAATACTAAAGTTAGCCGACGTTTTTAATATTTTGGTTTTTTTTTTTAATAATTTAATTAGAACAGAAAAATATTTTTTTTAAATTGCACTTACAGGTTTTCAAGTTTTTTACATATGAAATTTTTTTTTTTTATTTTTTTGTAACAATTTTTTCAATAAAAAAAATGATACTAAAGTTAGCCGACATTTTTAATTTTTTGATTTTTTTTAATAATTAAATTAGAACAAAAAAATATTTTTTAAAAATTGCACTTGCAGTTTTTAGTTTTTTAGACGTGCAATTTTTTTTTTTATTTTTTTGTAATGATTTTTTCAATAAAAAAAAATTATGCAAATTTTTAAATGTCGGCTAACTTAATTTTCATCTAATTTTTTTATTTTTTTATGAAAATTAATTTAGCAGATAATGATAATATTTATAACTGTAGTTAAATCACGGCAAAAAAAATAAGAAAAAAAAAAAAATTATGGCAAAAAAAATTGGCATTAGAAATTTTAAAAAATTTAAAAATGCAATTTATTAGAATTAATTTAATTGTTAATAAAATTAAAAATTGGTCAAGTGACAGCTAACTTTAATGTCATTATTTTTTTCCATTAATTAAATTGAAACAAAAAAACATTTTTAAAAAATTGCACTTATGTCGGCTAACTTAATTTTTTAATTTTATTTATCAAAAAGATTTGTTCAAAAAAATTTTTTAATTTTTTTAAATTTCTAGATGTCAATTTTTTTTGCCATCATTTATTTGTTAAAAAAATTTTTAAATGAAGTTGATAGACATTAAAAATTTTTTTATAATCATATAACAATTAAATTATTAAAAAAAAATTTTATTAAAAAATTCCACATGTGAAAATTAATAAAAATTATAAGTGAAAATTTTTAGAAGCATTTTTTTTATTGTAATTGTTATGATATTAAAGTTAGCTGTCACTTGACCATTTTTTAATTTTATTTAACAAAAAAAAAAGTTTGTCCCGAGGAATTATTTTTAAAAAATTGCATTTTTAATTTATTAAATTTTCTAGATGTCAATTTTTTTTCATATTTTTTTTATGCAGTAATTTTTTATTAAAAAAATTCTTAAAATTATAAAATATCTGTTAAATTAATTTTCATTAAAATTTTTAAAATTGACAGCTGACAGCTAACTTCAGTGTTATCGTTTGTAAGAACTACTTGGAACAAAAATATAAAATTCCAACAATTAAAAAAGACTAAATAATTAAAGTAAAATTTTTTTTTTTCAAAAATGACAGTTTTGACTCACAAAAATTATTTCTTCACTGAAGAAATATTAAAAATTCATTAGTAAGTGATAAAAATTTTTTTTTGGCGCTAAAATTCACAAATTTAAAGGTAAAGTCCTTTTTACCGACAAATACCCGCGTTATCTGTCATTTCTTCACACATATTTATGTGCTTACATTTCTATACGTCATACGTCAAATAACTGAGTGTGTGTAAAGAAATCATACGTGTGAAATTGTTATCATTCATATGTTATAAGTTACAATAATGAAAGTACACAGCACGGTTAAAAAAAGTAACGTCAATAATGTATAACTGTGTAGTGTAACATATGTGACTATTATTAAATAAATTTACTTAGATATTTTTTATTAAATCACCACTTGATTTATCATAATTAATAATCCAAAATAAAAATAAAAACAATGAGTGATTTAAACCGTAAAATGAAAAATCCACTGCTGACTGCAGCTGGTCAAGGCTTTCCGTTTGAAGAACATGAAATTCCAAATTTGTTGATACCTGTAGCACAACCTGTGTTAACCTCGCAAGATGGTAATGGTATGTAAATAAATTACACGTATTTACAATTACAAAAATCTATTTTATTTTATTATCAATAAATTTGATTATTTATTCAATAATCGAGGTTTAAAAAATTTACAGGTTACGTTTGAATGTTATAATCCCGCTTTCATAAACAATTACTCGGTATATACATTTATACATAAATATAGATTTAAGAAAGGGAGATTTAAAAGTTATAAATAAATAGCAATTGCATCCGGATTATCATGACGCAATTTAACTTATGTTAATATTAAAAAATATTACGTAAAATATAAACTATTTAACTTTGCTTAGTTAATTATCTCTAAGGCGTTGGTCGTGATCCGTATCGTTGGGTGTAAGTAAGGTCTGCGTTTTTACGTTTTTTTACACAATTAACACACACAATGACAATTATTATCAAAATAACCAGAATAAGTATCGTTCCAACTACAGCAGCTATTATTTCCCCGGTTGTTAAATTGTCCCAGGCTGTAACAAATTATTGTTAAGGTCAATTGGTTATTTTTTTTAATTATTTACATTAGTGCAAGTAAGAATAATTATTGTTTCGTTACCTGTCACGTCGACTGTTTTAGTAAAAGAGTTCTGGTTGATGTCAATAACTCGGAGCTTCACGAGTTTGTTGCAGCAAGTCGAGCTGTAGTAAAAGTAAACTGGAGATTTAGTACCAGCGATAAAGCTTGTCAAAGGCTGAATACCCGCTGGCTCTGATATCACGTTCTTAACTCCAGACTGGTCATTTTTCACTAGAATTTCGGCGCTCCATTGGCTCAAGCTACACCGGTCTCGGCTTGATTTACCGAAACAATTATCATTGAAGTAAACTTCTATCTCTGGTTCTTTACTGTTCACTATCTGAAAACAATCCTAATATAAAATTGAGATGAAATGTATGTGGCATTAAACTATTCGTAACGTGATTGGTCAAATATATCATAAGCATGAAAATATATGCAAACTCTATAGTCAAGGCGCGCGCTTGCGCACGAAAATTAAATTCTAGTTATTATAAATTTTAGCTCACATTCTTTGAAAAAAGAATTTATTATTTTAACTCTGGTAAAATAAAATCTTTAAAATTTTTGGTAAATATTTACAAGTATTTTAATTTTCATTTTTTTTAATGAAATTTCTTTTTGATTTTATTGATATATTTTCTTTTTTAAATCCATAAAAAAATGAACAATTAAAAAGAAAAAGTTGATTTTCACAATTTTAACAAATTTTACAAATTTTCAAAAAAATTTATAAATTTTTTAGAAAATTGCGATATTCAATTTTTTTTAAATTATTCGTTTTTTCATTCATTTATTTTAAACAATTTACTGAACCCTATAACAAAGCCATTAAGTGGATTCTATTAGAAAAAAAAATAACACATTATATTGAATAATAACATTTATAAGTAATAGTAATAACTAATGTCTGTATTTAGTGTAATAAGTAAGGTAAAAGACCCAGTTATAGACACTGGCCTAGAGGTTTGACACTTGTAATTTTATCCTAATTAAAAAAATTAAATGTTCTCAAAAAACCAATTTTCTTAAAATTTATAATTCAAAAACTATGTTTATTAATTTATAAAAGTTGATTTGTTTTTTTTTTTTTAATTAAAATAAAGTTGCATGTGTCAATAACTAGGCCAGTGTCAATAACTGGATCTTTTACCTTATATGAAATACTCTCTATAAGGCTCAATCTCTATTTGATGAACATAGTTTCGAGAAACAATCAATAATGTTTATCTGATAGACATCAAGGCTGTTATCAATTTTGTAAAAATTGTTAAAGGCATTCATTAATCGATATAGTCAAAAAAAAAATACATCAAAAAATAATAAAATAGAAATTTTATCCAAAAAACATGAGCTAAAATTTTTTCTAACTTTTGAAGGCAAAAAAGCTATCGAAATCTTTATTTTTTTCTTTTACATTTCAGCTGCCCAATTTTAAAACACAGAAACTGCAAAATTTTTTTACCTGATTTTTTTCAGTATTGCTACATTTCTTATTACTTGTAGATTTTAATTATCAAGTATTTTTTTTTTTTTAATATTTATATTTAAGTATTGTCTATTCTAAAATCAAATTTTTTATCAATGAGGCGCGCAAACTTTTTTTTAATAAGAAAAATTGAAAAAAAATCTTAAAATTGTCAATTACTGTGTTTTGAAATTGGGCAGCCGATTTTTTATCATAAATACGCCATTAAAATAAGTAGAATAAAAAATAATTAAAAAATGTTAATTTTTTTCCTAGTTACGGTCAAAAATGGGGCTTAACTACTTATAAATAATTACCAAAATTTTTTATCAAAATTAAAATAATAAATTTTAAATTCCAAGGAAGAAATTTAATTTTATTAATCAAAAAAATCAAATTTACCACGCCAGTAGAATTCTGTATATAAATATACGCAGATTTAGAAATTTCTCCAAAATTATTGCCTTTGACCGACAGACTGACAGTATTGACATAAAATTCGTTTGCGTTTCTCGGCACCGCTATTTGTACTGGAATATTTAGCGTCTGTCCAGGGTGGATCCAACTTGGTTTGACACCACAAATAATTTGATATTGGCTACTGCGTACGTCAAACTGATACAGAACGTCAGAATTACCGTTATTTGTAACAGAGAACCAAATAGTATAAATGAATCCCGGCATCACTACTAATTTAGTCTCGTAGGCAATGTCAACAATACTATCCTTCTTAGTAAGTTCATTTTCATTTTCCAATTGCGTTAAATCCATTCTTTCAATATTTTTGTTTCCAGAAACTAAAACTTCGTCGACTTCATAAATTTCCTGGTTCATTTTTGAGCTGGAATCATCTTGAGAAGAATGAAAGAAAAATAATTCATTTAAAAAACAAAATTTCAATAATAACAACCATAATAATAATAGTAATAGTAATAATTATAATAAATGACGTAAATTCATATACTTAAAAGTATATTTATATAATTTGCTGAATAAAGAAACAAAAAATATGAATCACGCGGCCTGATCAGAGGGCATATGCGACTGTCTATTGCATAATCGGGAATGAGTTTGCGCAGTGTTTGAATAAGATTGGTCATGTTAAAATATATATATATATATATATATATATATATATATCAATAGTAGTATATACCGTCAATACAATAGTTGATGGGTTATTGAGCAATGGGAAAGTCATGTATCTGTTTTTATAAATAATAATAAATATTTGTAACCGTAAATTAACAATGTCTGTTGGAAAACGGTGACAAAAAATTAGTGACGGATAATTTTGTTTTAAATCAATAGAGTAATGACGTTAAATTAAAATGTTTTATATTTACCTTCACGAGAATCTATACGACTAGGTAAGTCGATTCGTGATAAACTTGTTGATTTATTTATTACCATCATAGTTATATTATTCCACGGATCTAAGTCTTCTTCGTTTATTTTAAGTTTCAGCTCGCCGGGCGGTGGATTTTTTATCAGAAAATAATTTTCTGATGTCTGTATATTTTTTTTTAATGACAATGACGTTTCTGTTGATTTTTTTCTAGCTCCTAATAAATATAAACATTAAAAATTTTATGTAATAATCGATAAATTTATTTTATTTCTTTAATATTGCGGGTAATTGTTAATGTCCTTAGACACGCCACGGCGATTTGTAGATTATAAAATAACTAATAATAATAATAGTGATATTTACTTAGAGGAATTTGCAGCATAAGCCATGAAATATTTCCCGTTATTGTAAATTGCAGTAATTCGGTCTCGCTGTTGACTTTAAATTTTAATTCATTTACAAACTCGTATTTTCTAGTCATTGACTCCTGAGAAATTCATCAATTTGTTAGATAATATTATACAATAATGAGTAAATAATAGAATAGTAATTACCAGTTTAGTTGGCAAGTCAGCAAATGAATTATTGCAGTCGATTTTTATTGAAGTGTCGCATGTTGATTCTAATGCTCTTCCAATGATCGGTACTGATCCTTGATCTTTGTAAAATTTTTTTTTGGTTTATTAAAAAATTTAAACTTGTTTTTATTTATAAAAAAAAAGTACAGAGTGTATTAATAGACTTTAATGCATTTGAAATTAATTTCTTTTTAAATATTATATAAGATTTAATTTTTATAAAATTAATCTTACATTTTATAATTTTTACTCAACAATGAACTATAAATTAATTTGCAGTAAATTTTTTATCTAAATTTTTGTTCAATTAAAATTTTTAATCAATTACACTGAGAGAAAAAAATTATTTTGAAAATAATAAACATTTTTTTGACAAGAAATTAATTTGTTACAAATTTTCAACAGTTTTATTTCTCAGCTGAAGAAATCAAAATTGTTTTAATAGTATTTTTTTGTTGAAAAAAAAGTTTTCTAGATTTGGTAAAAAATAATTTTGAATTAAAATTTTTAAGTTGTCTTTGAGTCAATCATTTGAATTTGCATTTTTTGAACAAAATTTCTATCTGATTTTCTATTTTATTAAAATAAAAAAAGATAATTATCACAATTTTAACAAATTTAAAAAAAAATTTATAAATTTTTTAGAAAATTATAATATTCGACTTCTTTTTTGTAATTGTTCCATTTTTTATGTACTATTCAAAAAAAAAAATATATCAAAAAAAGATAAAATAGAAATTTCATCCAAAAAAATGAAAGCTAAAATTTTTCCAACTTTTGAAGGCAAAAAAAAGCTATCAAAATCTTTATTTTTTTCTTTCACGAAATTTTTTATCATAAATTATTATTATTATTATTATTTCTTTATTGATATAAACCTAACAGCCCTGCAGGGTCAATTGTAAGGTTACAAAAAGTTACAATATGTAATTCTAAGTGGCGCATGTAGCCAAATAACATAATTATAATTGATAGCATTTAATATAAAATAAGAATTATATAATAATACAATAGAAAAGTTTTGTTCAAGTGTTACAGTATGGATGTATGTATGTATGTATTTATTTAATATGCCAAGGCAATTAGCCGAATGGCAAAGGTTTGTACATAGTTTTATAAATTTTTACTTAAAATTTAATACAAAGTAATAAACTTAGGTGTAGGTGTACATCAAAATCTTATTTATAAAATAACAATTATAATTTTATTTTAGATTTAACTTTAGTTTTAATTTTAGATTAAATTTGATTTAATAAGTAACAATGTAATATTTATTCTAATCCACGTATTTAACAATATAATGGTAGTTGCTTTGACTAGTAAGTAACAATAGTTTGTAAGAGTATTTGAATATATACAGAAGCCAACGTGAAGGTAATTTACTGAAAGTCAAGTTTCAAGAGATAGTCATAGATCTTTGTTTTAAACACTTCTAGACAGTATTATATACATCTTAGTATTTAGGTAATAATAGTACAATAATACATAGGAATATAATAAATATATATAAGTGTAACAAATAGTATTTAATTTAGTATTTAACGGTATATAATTCATGATATTAGGTTCAATATGACTAAGGTAGTTAATTTTTAAACATTAAACTATAAATGCGCCGTAAAAACAAGCAGAATAAAAAAAAATTGAAACTGTTAATTTTTCACCTAGTTATTGCCCAAAATGGGTTTGACCCTACTTGTAAATAATTCCCTGTTGCAAGCAGCATGTACTTCTTCAATAACAAATTTTTTTGTTGAAAAAAAGGTTTTTAGATTTGGTAAAAAATAATTTTGGATAAAAATTTTGAAGCTGTCTATCATAAGATTGTTTTTTCCAAATTTAGAAAACTTTTTTTCAACAAAAAAGACACTTAAAAAAATTTACATTTCTTCAGCTAAGAAATAAAATTGTTAAAAATTTTCAACAAATTAATTTCTTGTCACAAAAATCTTTATTTTTTTCAAAAGAAATTTTTTTTTTTTTCAGTCTATAAATTTGCAATAAATTTTTAGCTAAAAAAATTGTTAAACTTACCAAGAAATTGATTATCACTCCACAAAATATTTAAATACTCCGCCTGAGATTCAAAATCATCAATACAGTACCTAAGCACAAATTAAAAAAAATTAAAAATAGTTCACTGAATAATTACTAAACAATTCACCAAAACAAAAAATACAAACCTCAAGCACCTATAAAAATTAGTTCTATTAACAACAATCCATTTCTCATTAAAATGATCCTCAAGCTGGCCCATAACCTGTAGCACAGTCACAAACCACAGAAATAAAATAAGCTTACAGTAACTCATAATAACTGTAGACACTAAACGTTTGAGTAAAAAACTATAACTGGCAAGTAAAAACCCTCGGTTGTACTTATAAGCGAATAGTTTCCGGTTTACAAAAGATTACTGATTACATTAAAAGAAGAAAAGTCAGTTCGGTATTGTCATTTTTTTCTTTATTTACTTTGCCGTATTTTTATTTTATATATTTACCTCTTACGATGACAAGCGATGATGAAAGCATAAGTAAATGATTACACAATTGTCGAATGTTAGTCATATATTTAGTGGGTGTGGATCTACTTTAAATGTAAGAAAAATTTATAGATAAATCCGTGGGACAGCATCCTGTTAACATTATTCGTCAGATATTACTATACGGGAAATCCAGGTTAAAGATAACTCCAGTCTATGATAACGATTTATTACGATAGTTAAAAATACCCACCTGTGTCTGTAAAGTAATGTTTGTTTGTTTAATTAATTATTATTTTTTTTATGTTTTAGCAAATCCTACGCCCTTTCCGAGTGGAAATGATGGTAAGTGTTAACTCTATTTTTGTTATTGTTATTATTAGTACGTATTATTCATAGAAGTATTTGTTATTAATAATTTTCTTCTTTTCAGTGTTATCTACCATTGAACTTGATAACAGAGATGGATCAAATGGTACAATAACAAAAACAGAAACTTTATCGGAAATATCTCTGAATGATCAATGCTACGATGAGTCTTCTAGTAGAAGTTTAACCGAGAGTATTGATAGTTTAAATTTAACTAGTAATCCAACAACTCCACCATTGTCATTTCCAATTGCAAATACTAGTGAGTTTATTTATTTTAAAAAACAATTTTTGTTATTTTCTGCAGGACTTATAATAGTCAACATTTTTTTTTTATTATACTCTTGTTAGTGCGCGGAACCAAAATAATTTTTATTAAACAGATAATTTAATCACGGTTAATTTTGTAATTTTCAAAAATTTATTTTATGTAATAGAAACGAGAAAATTATTCAAGTAAATATTTGCTTGCGTCAAGCAATAGAAAAATATTCATAGTTTGGAAACACGATAAATTTATTATTTACGTCATTTTTTTTTAAATACATTTTCTTTGACGTTATACATAAAATATACAATGATACGAAAATCAGCCGGCGTTTAACAATTTTTTTATATTTATTAAATCAAATCTAAGAAATTTTATTTAGAAAATGTACTTTTAGTTTTTCAAATTTTTTAAAAGTGAAATTTTTTATTTCTTCACTTTTGTAATAATTTTTTAATAGAAAAATTATCCAAATTTTTAAATCTCGACTAACTTTATTTTCATAAATATGCATGGCAAATCTTTTACTCCTACGCGTATGTACGTTATAATAACAGTCAGAACTGAGTTAAGACAAATACCGAACAATAAGTTACTTCAATAATTTACAATAATACATTTTCTTCTTTCTCAATTTATCAATTATCAATAATGTAATATATTTTCTATAAAAAATTCACCGAGCATTATGAGTCTTGCACTTTTGAACTTTTAAAATTTTGGAATAATTATAATAAATAATACTAAAGTTAGCGAACATTTTTAATTTTTTAATTATTTTTCATTTATTAAATTAGAACTAAAAAATATTTTTTAAAAATTGCACTTATAGTTTTTTAAGTTTTTTACAAATGAAAATTTTTTTTATTTTTTTGTAATAATTTTTACAATAAAAAAAATTTCGGTAATTATGCTGAATTTTTGAGCTTCAATTAAATAAAAAATCCCCAAAATATTTAATTTTCATATTTTTTATCATAAACCCATCGTGAAGAAGAATAATTTGAAAAAAAAAAAAAAAAAATATTTAAACAGATCAATTTTTTGATTTTTTACACTTAAAAATAGGTGGAGCATAATTATCACTTCTTCATAATTACCAAAAATTCTTAAAATTTTTAGATGTCGGCTAATTTAATTTTCATTCATATCAACTAATTTACCGCTAAAAAAATTTCTCCCAAGCCTGGGAGGTCTTTAAACAAAAAAAATCAACTTTCCGATAATGAAATTAAATGTAAATTCCTCACCAAACCCTACTAAGAGAAAGTAATCTCTTCTAATCACTGGGAAAATCTTTACATACTTTCCTAAACCATACTTATCAATTACATCAATCAATTAACAACTAAACATCAATAATCAAATAAACTAATTAGAAAAATTTCTTCCAGTACAAAATTCAAGTTACCGCCTCGGAAATCAAAGACGCCTAAGATATGTGCCACCACCGAACCTGACATCATCCCACCAAGCGCCATTGCAGCCACCAATAACCCAACCATTCACTCCAGCTCCAGCTCCAGTATCTCAGGAAATTTTTACACCGACAGTAAATCAACCGCCTCAAGCGCAACACGTACCTTCAGCTCCGCCAGTTCCAGCAGAATTCGCTCCTGCGCATGTACAAGAACGAGTTCCTCTAGTTCAACCTAATCTCCCCCAAGTTCCAGTCAACACGCCACCCAGCGGGCTGTCGAATTACTTCTCAGCTTCCAACCAGGACAACGACATCTTCAGCAGTTGCTATGCACCACCTCAGACTCAGAATTTACTGAGCAATTTCAATGCAGCAAATGAAGCATTTCCCAGAAACCAATCAACGAATTCAAGCGTCGATGTACAGAGTACCAATTTTTATTCCAGCAACATAAATTCTCCTTTTACAAGAGATGAAAGCGACAACGAGAAACGTGATCTAGTTACTGTAGACCATCGAGGACCTCAAGATCCAATAAAACTTGAGGATTCATCAGCAACTCAATCAAATTTATCTGTACAAAGTACTTTTTACAATCCAGCTAATTACAATCCTCCTTGCCAGGTGCCAACACCTCCAAGCTTTTCATTCGATTCAGTCCATGCGAGTCCTGGACTGGAGCAGCCTGCGTTTGTTAACTGTATGATGCCTGAGCCTACGGGCTCTGCTACGTTGAATCCCACTCAGATATCCGTCAGCCAATTGGCGCCTGGAAGAGTTCACACTGAAACAATAATTCCTGCAAGTCTGGAAAATTTAGCGTCAGCTAATAAAATAATGTACCGTCCAGTCTACTACCACTGGTTCCACTGCCGCGAGATAGAGACCAAGATCATCTGGCAGCCGTTCTCCATGCATGACAGTCTCAACTTGGAGCAGGCTTTCAATTCTACGGAAATTAGCGCTGAGACGGTGATTGCTACTGATGGCGGCAGGTATGATGTGGAAATAATAAAGCGACAACGAAGGCCGGTTTACTGGTCTGCTACACCCACTCAGGTCAGAAGGTGTTCTTGGTTCTTCAAAGGCCCCACTGAGTCCCGGTACACGCCTTATGAGGAACAGATTGCGGCGAGGCTTGAAGAAGAGTATAAGCAGGCTTGCTTGAGTAACTCTTGGAATCGGCGGGTTGAACTTAGCAATAATGAACACATCATTTTTCATAGCGCTACTGTTCAAGTTCATTATACACCTGCTACTTCACTTGAATTCAATTCTTCGTGGAGCAATAGCTATGTAAGCAGTTTTTACATTTATTTTTACTTTTTTGAGGAATTTTTTTTTTTTAAGGAGGTTCATTGGCAAGAAAAAGACACCAATAGGTGATGGCTATTGGTTTCTTTCTCATGCACTAGTGCTGCCTCTTTTTACAGACTATCGCTCACTTACTTCCACTCACGTAAAATATCGAAAGTCACTAATTTCAAACCGACAGTCTAATTAGCAATTGGTCTAACTCCTTATTTTTAAGAGGGTGATTTTTTAACATTTTGATGTAGCAATAATCGAATAATAAATTACTTGAATGATCCAAACCAAAATATAATACCTCTAATAGATATTAAGTGGTTTTTTAAAGTGGTAATCAATTTTTAATTAATTGTTTTATCATATAAATGGATGATTCACTAAAATGAAGTTAGACAATTTGCTAATTAGAACGTCGAAACATTTTTTATAAAAAAATGAATACCGCTTGTTTATGTTATTTTTGAAAAAAATACTTGTTATATCTTCAATTAATGATTATCGATTTTTTTTAAAACAATACTAAGAAAAGTACGATTGATATTTAATGAAATGTTCGTTTGAATATCGTTCAGTATAAGATTTCTATACAAAGTATACAAATTTTAAATTCTAGAATTTCAAAATTTAGTGCCGCAAAGACTATTTAAAAAAATTCCTGCGTATAGAGGATATTTGTGAGTATAAGTACTCAAAATTTCAAAATAATTTTAAGAACGATTTTTTCACGGAACTTCCTTAAGAGTAGTTTAGTTCGTCGACTAAAAAAATAGGCGATTTTTGAAAATTTCTTGTGAGCTCGATATGAAAGATATGTTTATAAAAGTTATTAGATGATTAATGAAGTCTTGAATTACAAAAATAAAAATTATTTTCAGTTTTTTTACAAAAAATTCAAACTTAGAACGTCATATTTTGGAGAATAGGTCGGCTCCTACACGATATCTCGGTAGCGGCTTATGTGAAACAAAAAAAAAAAAACTGAAGTGTTAGATTGAGTATGACAATTGCTACAAAATAGACTATTGATATTAATTTTGAAGGATTGCTGTTAATTTAAAGTAACAAAAACCAAAAAAATTGTTTTTCTTTTTCACTATTATTTATAAAAAAAAAAAAAATAGTAAAAATCTATATTTTAACATGATGATAATCTATTTTATGAGTATTTATGTTTAGAATATGTGGTTAAAATTTCAAAACGATCAGCCCACAGGTTCCGGAGAAATCGTGTTAGTCGTTCATGAAAACGTAGTTTTGAGAAAAACGCGTTTTATTTATTTATGTATTTATTAAATTTATATGTCAAGGTTTAGCCGAATGGGAATAATACACGATTTGGATATAAGTGATGGGTAATATATAAATTAAATAGTGTAGTTAGATAATAAAGCAGAAATATTATAGTACAATGCAATATAATAAATTGAGTAACTAACATATGAGTAAAATCAAATACAAATTCAAGTAAGCCAAACTAGATAATTAATAGGGTTATTATAAACTGTTAGATAGTTCAAGATTTAAGAAAAATTCAAACGCTTTATTTTTAAGTTTCTTTAAATAAAAAATCTTACCAATACGTTCCTATAAAACATTCTTAGCTAAATTAAAAGCAATCTTGTAACATAATTTCGTTAATTTAATACTTTTTCTTTTATATATTGGTCTTTCTACTATTATAATTTTTTTATATCAATTTCTTTCAATATTTTGTATTACCAAAGTGTATAAAACCAATTGGCGTATAAGTAAATTAGCGGGGATTCTTAAATACATATCGATACTGCCATTCTAATACGTCGTATCCTACAAAATTTGTCATATTGACTTTTTTTGAAAAATAGAATCACAACAATATTTAAATAAATATTTTCACCTGTTAAATCCCGTTTAATTAACGTTAAAAATGAACTGTTTTTACCGTCTGCTGTAAAATTTTCTAAATGTGGGATACGACGTATTAGAATGGCAGTATCGATATTCATTCGAAAAATATAAAAGTTAAATTTTCGAAAGTGATCAATTAGATTGCATGCACCCTTATAACTTATTACGGTTGTTAATTTAATTTTTTTTTTTTATTTAAGAATGTTGCAAATCGACCAAAACTCGTTAAACGTGGCTTAGACGAATTAAATATCGACGAGGGAGAGCCTGAAGCAATAGACCACTTGCTGTTCCTTGTTCACGGTATAGGCAGCGCCTGTGATTTAAAGTTCCGCAGCGTTGAAGAAGTTGGTAAGTTTATGAAAATTTCTTCTCTGTATTTATATTATTATTATTATTATCATCATTAATATTAACCAGAAATAAATGATAAATAAATTAATGTTTTATTGCAGTCGACGAGTTCCGAAGTATATCTTTGCAATTGGTCCAGACTCATTACCGTACAGAAACCGACCATGGTAGAGTACACAGAATAGAAGTGCTGCCAATATCATGGCACTCGACGCTCCACTCAGAAGACACGGGGATAGACAATAAACTGAAAACAATAACATTAGAGAGCATACCCAAGCTGAGGCACTTCACCAATGATACATTGCTTGACATACTTTTTTATACCAGTCCTGTTTACTGTCAGACCATTATGCAAGCTGTTGGGAATGAGATGAATAAACAGTACGCTTTATTTAAAGAACGTAATCCGCTGTTTAATGGAAGTGTTTATTTGGGTGGTCATTCGCTGGGTAGTTTAATTTTATTTGATTTGCTCTGCCACCAGAAACCGATTGTTGATAAACCCAAAGAAGATGTTACCTCTGAAAATGAAAATTCTGTAAGTTTAATTTATTTTTAATATTTGTTATGCAAGTTTTGTTATTTAACTAATTAATTTATTGCACAACTCGAAGCGCCGACAATGGGGTCTATTTTCTCAAGTAATTTCATTCACTCATGTCTATAAATTCACATTTACAAGCTTCACACTTCATCTAAATACGATAAATGTATTATCCGCTGAAGGAAAGTCTAATAAACATTTATACAATTAAGGATGTTCATGCGCTACGCTAGAGCCAAATGTGTACTAACTTTTTATATAATTTATTGGGATCTTGAGAAAAATTTTTAAGTATATTATTAATTTTTTAATGGTTTATGATTATTAATTATTTTTTTTTTTTTCATCTGGAATATTTTTTAGGCTTCTATTTTAAAAAATCAGTAAATATAAATTAGTAGTAGATTTGACGATCATTTTTATTGTTTATTAAGAGGTTACATGGGTTTTAAAAAATCGATTTTTTTTTATTAAATTCTACAACATCTCTAGAATATTGTCCTAAAGTTTCAAATCGATCCGAATAATAGTTTTGGAGATACAGTTTTAAAAAGTTGCGTGCTCAATAAACGCGTTTTTCTCAAAACTATGTTCTCAAAGACGGCTGTCAAGATTTCTCGAGAACTACTCAACCGATCTTGATGAAATTTTAGACAGGTCTTCGAGATATAATTTACAAGGTCCGGGACGAAGGATTTTTTTTTTTCAATTACAACTATTTGAAAAAAAAAATGCCGCGAAATTTTAGACAAATTTTTATGTAAAAACCTCAGCCAAAAATCCAATTTTCATTTTTTTTTCCTTCGTTCAAGACCTAGTTTGAGGACTAAAGCACATATTTTTTTTTTTTTCACTTTTGATGATCCTGCTAGGAGTTCTGCTGATCACGCGGACGCGTCTTTTTTCCGAGGGCTCGCCGTAAATGACGTGATAATAGCAGATTTTTTTTCAAAAATTTCAGTAATCCCTTATCAAACAAGTATCTTTAAGACAGTAAAAAGTTTGAATAAAATATTCCATTTTTTTATATTAAAAGAACAATAGTTGAAAATAGGCCATTTTTTCCCGGAGGAAATCTATGAAACCCTTTAAATTAGACAAATTTATCATTTTTAACGCTGTAATCAGCTGTAATTAGGTTGTTATTTTCAGTACGGTGAAAAATTAACTAAAATAATTTTAATAATACCAAGAAAAATAATAAATAATTAAATAATTAAAAATTTAATTTTTAATCATTAATCGTTAGGAAAGATCACTTGATTAAATTATCAAAACTAAAAAATATAAATTTATATCTACTACTATTAAGTCTTATGCATGAACGTCAAAAAAAATTAACTTTGTATCTGTTACGAAAAAGTTGCTTTGTTTTAAATATTCTTCATATAGGTTAGGTGTACGTACATCGTGATGTTAATACAATCTAAATGTTTATAAAAACATATTAAATAAATGAAATTCCTTTTGCAATCGATTTTAATTACCGAAACACAGATTATTATTGCAAATCATCATTGTAGCCCTTTTAATTTAATTACAATAAAAGAAATAAGTCCAAATACGGTAACAAAGAGCCGCAACCATATTGGATATTTTGAAACAAAGATTCTTATGATGAAGGCCACCAGGTAGCGTTACATACAAAAAAAGTTGACATAAATAGTTTTTAAAAAATTGCACTATTGTTGTTTTTTTGTTCCTATTTCATAAGCGTTCGAGTTGTGTACTTTTGAAGGTGGAAAAATTTTAATTATTTTACTTTATTGCAGGAAGATGAAGATACCGTCGGTGAAATGCAGACAATACCGCGAGCTAAATTCGAGCGACGTACCAGCCGTAGAATAAGTTACGTAATGGGTAGCGCTGGAACGGGACAGCCTTTTATTGTTTATCCGCATCTTAATTTCTATCCAAAGGCATTTTTCGCGTTTGGTAGCCCTATTGGAATGTTCGTGACGACTCGCGGTATCGATAATTTAGGGTCTGACTTTAGATTGCCAACTTGTCCGGCGTTTTTCAATATTTTTCATCCGTTCGATCCAGTGGCCTACAGAATTGAACCTATGGTTAACCCAGAGGCCTACAAATATCCGCCTCAGTTAATTCCGCATCATAAGGGAAGAAAACGAATGCATTTAGGTAATTTACATTTATTTTTAAATAAATTTAATTATATTTAAATTTGCAAATACTTGAAAATTTTTCGATTTTTATAGCAAATTAATTATTGTCAAAAAAAAAATTTTATTATTTTTTAAATGTTTATATATTGAATTATAATTTAGTTATAAAAATTTTTAAATTGTTCGATTTTTTTTTGGCAAATCAAAAAAAAAATATTTATTATTTTTTTTAATTTCTACATTTAAAAAAATTTTTAGTTAGAGTTTTGTTAGAAAAAATTAAAAAATTGTTGAAATTTTTATAGTAAATTAATTATAACTAGCAACCTTGCAGTCACTATCTGACTGCCGTGACTTGTGAACTATAAATAAACAAAATTTTGTTTTATTAAATAATTACTTTCGTTAAATTGCTCTGAAATATTGACGATTTTAAAAATATAAGCTCATCTTGATGTTACACTCATCAAGAGCTTTCATTTGAGCACCTACATCATTTTTTTCATATATTTATATGTATTATATATATAAATATATGAAAAATATATCAAAATGCATGTGGGTATTCAAATGAAAGGTCTCGATGAGTGTAATGTCGGAATGAGCTTATATCTTTAAAAATGTCAATAGTTCACAAGATACAAGGTCATTTCTTAATTATTGACATTTTTTAAAATATAAACTCATTTCGATGTTACACTCATCAAGAGCTTTAATTTGAGTACCCACATACAGTTTTGATATATTTTTCATATATACATATATATAAAATATATAAATATATGAAAAATTGATGTGGGTACTCAAATGAAAGGTCTTGATGAGTATAACATCGGGATGAGCTTATATCTTTAATAATGTCAACAGTTCACAAGATACAAGGTCATTTCTTAATTATGTATCTAGAAATAGAGCATTTTCGAATGCAGCCTAAATACTTATCATCATAAATTGACTATTGGTGCGAATGATATAAAATCTTGAAAAGGCACAACTCCAAATCAAGACTTTTTCAACGATACCAATTTTTGTCATAAAAACCCATTTTATCATATAAAATACACTAACCAAAAAATTTTGCTTATTCTCTTCATAATGTAGATAAAGAAATAATATTTGTAATTTTTTTCTAATTTCTACATTAGAAAATTCTTTTGATTATAATTTAGTTATAAAAAATTCAAAAATTGTTTTTAGAACAAATCAATTATTGTAAAAAAAAAAAATATTTATAATTTTTTAAATATTTACATGTAAAATTTTTTGAATTTCTAATTATTTGTTATAAAAATAAAAAAAAATTTCAGATGGTAGTTAATTTTATTATTATATGATATAATTTAATAGGATAAAAGTTATAATTTATAATTTATTAAATGAAATGTTAAATTTTAATGGTTGCAGAATTAAAAGAAACGATGGCGAGAGTTGGAGCTGATTTGAAACAAAAAATCCTAAATTCAATGAAAGTAACTTGGAACTCGGTCTTTCAGTTGACTTCATTCTACCAACCAGACAATAAAGCTCTCGAGCAGGAGATTGAAAAAGTCGTCGAGGAGGAATTTAAAAAATCATCAAGACTTGCTGAATCATCAGCCAATAGTAATAATGATAAGAATGAAGATAATGATAGCAGCGAAGCTGGTCGTTATTATCACGACGATCGGCTAAGTGATGCTGGTGAAATAAATATTAAGATGGGCAAACTCAATGGAGGCCGTCGTATCGATTATGTGTTACAAGAAGCACCATTTGAATATATTAATGAATATATATTTGCCTTAACGAGTCATGTGTGTTATTGGTAAGTTGTAACTTTCTATTCAATCACATTTTTTTTTTTTTTTTTTAATTTATTCAGGTATTTTTTGTGTGTAATAATTTTTATTCGAATTAATAAAAATAAATAGCCTGTAGTTTGATTAAAATATTCAAATGTGACATGAGTTAAAGTTTAATCAACTTGACAAATATTTCCAGGGAATCCGAAGACACGATGTTGCTGATATTAAAAGAGATATATGGAAGTAACGGAATCCAAGCTGATGCCCAGTTACCACAACAGCTGTTGACACCGACCAGCGTGTCTTTTTCATCATCAGATTCTCTGTCTTCGCCGTCACACGAGCTCCCGTCTACCTCGGCGTCTCATCCTCATCCTCTTTCAACCTCACCCGCACTCCAGGGTGTCGATCCCACGGCTCCAATCACCCAGAAGTCCGTCGGGCCGCCTCCGATCTCTGGTTTTGTTCGAAAGTCGTAGATTATGCCATTCACTTTTTTTACTAAACTAAAAATCAAATTTATTGCGTGATTTACGAGACATGCTAATTCATGTTAAATTTCTTTACTTTTTTTTTTTTAAATTACTAGTAAATTATTTCGCGTTCCAGATGCCACAAGTGCGTATACTAGCAAAAGGTCCCGGTGAAAAACCATAAGGACGTTTTATAAAAATTCTATTTTTTTTTTTTAAGAAAAAAAATTTTTAATTTGGAAAAAATTTTTTTTTTGCATTTCTTCACATTTTATGAAAAAATACGTCGGTTCTCAAAAAAAAATTTTTTTTCAGAATCAACTTATTTTTAAATGAAACGTGCAGAAATGCAAAAAAAAAAATTTCTCCATACTAAAAATTTTTTTTGGACTTAAAAAAAAAAATACCATTTTTATTATACACCCTTACACGAAAAAAAGATGACACTGGATATCATCCCAAATTACACTCAGTGATATTTGTGATGAAAAAAAATTTCAGATAGCTAGTATAATCCAGATTATACTGAGTGATATCTGGATTATACTCATTGATATCTCTAATTTTACCGTGTATAATTAAACTGGATATAATCAGAGATAGTGTCTGGATAATCCAGTATAATTTAATCATCCAGATTATTAATTGGAGTGTCCAGTATAATTTGGATTATACTCAGTAGAATCTTGGATTATACCCAGTGATATCTCCGGAATTTTTTTTCTAGCGCTTGCGCACTTAACATTATCATATCTATTATATATTTTAGACATTAGGATAATCAAATACTATCTGAAATTTTTTTTCATCACAGATATCACTGAGTATAATCTGGGATGATAGCCAGTGTCTTGTTCTTTCCGTGTATGGCATTTGTAATGCGATTTGATAGGTCGATTTTAATAAAAATTATTATTATAATTGAATAATGTTATACTTATTTTTCATAGTTTATTTTTATCGAAAAAAATATAAATTATTAATTTTTTTTCCTAAAATCAAATAGATAAATTTATAAGTACGATGTTTAAAATTGTTAATTATAAATAATATATAAAAATATATTTTGTAATGTTTAAACATTTATATATTGTTGCTTAAATTTTTTTTTTTACCACACTATTTATTTTAAAATTCACATACCATTATTATTATTTAATTATTAACACACAATTATTCTCATGTACTTACATGAATGATTTAGCAATTTGTTTTCATAAATTTTACTTTCAATCCAGGATAATTCTACATTACATTAAATTACATTATGTTCATTTAATTACATTGTTTAGTAAGACTACTACTGTATTATTTATAAATAATTTATATTTTATGTTTATGAGTAATGAGAGCTGGTGAGGTTGAGTTAATAATCAGGATTATTACGATGACCATGTGTTCCGTTTCCACGATATTTCGGATTCCATCAGAGAAAGTTAACCATTTATTTGTGTCGATTCATTGCTTCACATTCTCTTCTTTCTCCGAATTAAGAATACTCCATGGAATTTATGGTAATTACAACAACTCACATGGTGAACTTTACAAGGACAAGTGCCTACCATTGATTATTACGTCTGACTTTATTCGTCAATGAAATATTTTTCTATGAATAATATAATACACCATAGCGTATTATAGTAGTTTGTACAATTCACTATAACTGTTTAGTTTTATTCTAAAACTTTCACTTGGTATAAATATCTAATAATATATTTCTATTTATCAATCATTTTTTACTTTAATTGGTTACATAAATTATTTATGTTTAATGCCTAATTTATCAAATTAAATTATTTACATAAAAATTTTTCACGCTCTAAATACTTTTTAATTTCCCGCTAAGAAAATTGAAAATTTTCAAAAATCGGGAAGTTATTGTTTTCACCCCGTTTTTCGAAAATCCAGTTTTCATCAGATCTCGACGTTTTGAGGTCCTAGGAAGCTTCCCTGACTATTTCCGCGATGATGTCCGTACGGCTAAGTGTGTGTGTGTGTGTGTGTGTGTGTGTGTGTGTGTGTGTGTGTGTGTTTGGACCGGTCAAAATCGGTTGATTCGTTCGTGAGATATCGAAAACGAAAAATTTCAAAAAAAATATTTTTTCAAAAAATCTCTTAAATGGCTTTACCGATCACTTCCAAAAACTTATTAGCTTTCAACCTTGAAAAACTATGTCGATCACCGTTGGACCGATCAAAATCGGTTGATTCGTTCGAGAGATATCGTGAACGAAAGAAAACCGAAAAAAGTGTTTATTCGGGATTACTCCGAAATTTTCGGTTCGATCAATTAAAACCTGAAAATCATTTATGAGGATGATAAAACTGCGTCGAATGGCGCCAACCCCGTGAAAATTGGTTGATCCATTCAAAAGTTATTGCGGTTTGAAAATTCCAAAAATAGTGTTCTACGAAACTTCTATCAGACTTTTGAGCTAGGACAGCTCAAATGCATAGAAACATTATTTCTTTGAACTCAGCAAGCTCAAAATATCACATAAATTATTTTTTGAGCTTAAAAATCTCAAAAATGTCATAAGTACAATTTTAAGCGCCCAGGAATGGAATTAGCGGGAAGTTGTACGGATGGCCTTCAGGGTGAACCGTTTTTCTAATTTTTTTATTATATATTCTTCACTTTTTTTTTTTATATTAAATAATATTAATTTTTATATTAATAAAAGGTCGAATTACTTTTCAAATCTGAAGATTGAATACATGTTAGATTTTGAATAAATAAATAAATGTAAGTCCGCATTTTTGGACTCAATAAAAAGGTTGTTGATCAACCTACATAATACCGAGAAATAAAAATAATAAATAAGTAAATGGGATAATAAATTAAAGAAAAATTAAATATTGCAAATTTATGGTAAATTAGCAAACTATAAATGTCAGGATGAAAAAAATTGTTTACTTAAAACTCGCGCTGTTGCGTTATAGAAAAAAGATAAAGTAGAAATGAAATACTGGTGATATTTTTGCTAAATGTTAATAACTTTGTTATTGTAGGTAATTATCGTCATAACGCGAAAATAATAATGATTTTTTATTATTTTTTATTTTTAACGCGCTTTTCTTGTTTAAAAAAAAATTTTTTTTTATTTCAACTAAAAAATTAAATCTTTTTCTTTAGAATTTTGATTTTTTTATAAAATTTGACCAAAATATTACAAATATTATAAAATTGATAGCAATCTTTTTTGTAGAAAACTAAATTTTCTACAAATAAAATTTTTTATAATTTTTTTGTATTTTTTTGATCCAAATTTTTGATTTTTAAATTTAAACGCTTAATTCTTTAATTCTTTGAAGTTTTTTAAAAATCTTCACAAAAAAATTAGAAATATCAGAAAATTGATAAGGATCTTTTTATATTTTTGATATTTAATCCAAATTTTTTAATTTTTAAATTTAAACTTGATTTTTTGACTTCTTACGGCTTTTTTGGAAATTTTAACCAAAATTTTAAGAATATGATAAAATTGACAAGCATCTTTTTTTTTTGTAGAGAATTAAATTATTTGCAATTAAGATTTTTTATGATTTTTCCATATTTTTGATATTTGACCCAAACTTTTGATTTTTAAATTTAAACGCTTGATTCCTTAATTCCTTAAAGTTTTTTGAAAATTGTGACCAAAATATTAAAAAAATCCTAAGATTGACAAGCATTTTTTTTTTTTGTAGAGAATTAAATTTTTTACAACTAAGATTTTTTTATATTTTTAATATTTGACCAAAATTTCGATTGTTAAATTTAACCACTTGAATTTTTGACTTCTTAAGAATTTTTTGGAAATTTTGACCAAAATTTGAAAAAATACGTCAAAATTATCAAAAACTTTTGTTATAAAGAATAAAATTTCCTACAAAAAAGATTTCGTATGAATTTTTGATATTCTTGATATTTAATCCAAATTTTTTATTTTTAAATTTAAACACTTGATTCTTTAATTCTTTGAAGTTTTTTAAAAATTTTGACCAAAATATTAGAAATATCATTAAATTGATAAGAATTTTTTTATATTTTTGATATTTAACCCAAATTTTTTATTTTTTTACTTCTTACAGCTTTTTTGGAAATTTTGACCAAAATTTCAATTAAGATTTTTTTATATTCTTGATATTTGACCGAAATTTTTGATTTTTAAATGTAAACGCTTGATTTTCTAATTTTTTGGTATTTTTTGTCAATTTTGACTAAAATATCATAAAATTGATGAGGATCATTTTTTGTAGAAAATTATATTTCCCACGTATAAGATCTCGTATGATTTCTTAATATTCTTGACATTTCCCAATTTGATCAAAATTTCAAAAAATATAACAAAATTATCAAGGATTTTTTTTTATAAAAAATAAAATTTCCTACAAAAAATGTTTCTTAAAATTTTCTGTAATTTCAATATTTAATAATAATAATAATAATAATAATAAAATATTAAGAAATGATTGCGAGAAAGTTATCAATAAATGTCAGGAGTCAGGATTGACATATCATAGGATAAATAATCCTCCTAGAAGAAGAAGAAGAAAAAAAAACCAAAGATAATTTAATAACAACTAATATAATTTAATCTGAAGAGTAAAATACATCTTGTAGAGACAAACATAAAAAATGAGTATCGAGTTATTTGTGAATGGAAGAGGATTTTGAGCTGGAAGCGGAAATGCATTAGTGAGAAGAAAATGGGGATATAACTAAAGTGTTCTTGCGAAGCGCAGCGAAAGTGCGGAGAGATCGTTACTCGTGACTCGTCTCCCGTCACGTGATGACGAGTTTAAGACCAATGTTTTGTTTTTTAGTTTTATTTTCGTCGAAGCTAACTCGTTTTGTAACAATAACTTTTTTCTTAATTTAATGTTATTATTATCATTATTATTCTCATTATCATTATCAATAACAACTATTTCCTTGAGTCATTTAATTTATACATTTCTTCTTTTTTTGCTCATGCTTTATCGAACAAACAATTTGGATTTATGGTTCGTGACGAAAGGCC